ATGGATGAGTGGTAGCAAGAGATCCGCCTTGCAGTCTTACCGTTTTTTAGTTCGATTCTGACTATTGATTTTTTTTATAATTATTTTACGAAAATAAAATAAAAAGCTTATATGCTTAAGTCCCCTTTTTGCAATAAAATCCATAAATAAAATAAAATACATCTGTATGTTAAAAATGCTCATCGTACACCGTACAATTAATATGATTAAAGCAATGAACTGAACTAATTCGATTTTTCTACAAATACGTCGTTAACTAAATTCGTTAAAAAATTCCAAGCGTTAAGCATTAAATCCACGGGGTATTGTTTAAATAATGATTTTATTTTTGTTTATTTACATTTTAATTTCTATTTTACTTAACCATTAAGAATCCTTGTATGTTCACGACAAATTTATTTAAATTACTTTTAAACTTCAATCTCTGAGGACGGTTATTCAAGTCCATACTAAAGTCTATATCCGTCGTTAGCTCGTTGAATGCCATTCGCTAATCTTTGTGCTATTTGTGGATCCGTTTGACTGGATACAATATTCTGTACAAGTTGCTGATATTGTTCTTGATAGCAATATATGAGATGGTAAAGAGGCGTACTGACGTTCGAGATCAGATCTGAATCCATTTAATGTGACAAAATGAGACTTATCAGCAACTGAAAGGCAAAATTTAATATTTCAAAATTTGCTGTATCCTAAAAGGTACGTTTATATGCTCATAAGCTATCGCTTGTAAAAACTTACGTTCAAAGGGTGCCATTATGTCTTTGCACCGCCGTCCTTGCGTAACTTCTTTGTGAATGTGCATGGTCAAGGCTTGGATTGTATCACAGCAAAGGCTAGCTACTTCAAATGAATATAAACCTAATTCTACTAATGACGCTAAAAGCTGCTGCAGCAATTTAACAGATTGCAATTTGGCACGACACAATATCATTAATTTCGTTGTCAATTTAATCACTTTCTAGAACTTCGTACGTTCGTTCATTCAATATGTCAATATGTAATATGTTATATATAATATATGACATATGTTATATGTCATATGTTATATGTCAATTTAAATATGTATTTGCGTTATTTAAAAAATCTCTAACCTTCAGCGCTCCAGGTGGTGATAGTGTCAACTACATAAAATGACTTCACTAAGCGAGTCACCCCCCACTACTAGAGTTTCCAGACCTGTATTCACGACCGTGGTCCTATATTAGTAGAGAGACGCAAACTTGTTCCTCCTTCTGATTGGTCGTTTATAGACCAATAGACAGCAGGGCGTACGATCACAAGATGGCGGCGGCGGCAGAGTGGGAATGCCCGCATTATACAACTGACAGTGTTGACTAAAGTTTATAAATGCATATATATTATTATTTCTTGTGATCAAGGTAAGTAGAAATATCTTTTCTGTGTTGTTAAATAACTGCAGAGGACTTTACTGACATTGTGGGTTGCTTATTTGTGCCCTGCACCATATATGCAGCATAATCTTTTCATCCGTGTCGAATTCTTATTATAATTCGTTTATTATATCTATTTCAGATAAGGCACTGTTCAGTTAGTGGCTGTAATGTAAAGAAAAAGCAAGGCCTTATATTGTTTAAATTTTCAAAAGAACCAAAAAGGCGTGCAAAATGGATTTTATTAATGAACCGTCCAAATTGGCAACCTTATACAAATAGCACAGTTTGCGAAGTAATTAGAACAATTATACAATTTTATATATGTATATAGTGATTTGCATTAATATTCGGACATTTAACAAAAAATATATTTTTGTATAAATTACATCTACATATGAATTAAATTATAACTTTAATAGTTTAATATTTTGTAGGGTATCATTTTGTGCTTCAACTTACTAAAAGAACAACATTTCTTACATAAATATACGGATTAATTTTTTTCAAGTATTATGATGTCCGAATATTAATGCGAGGCACTGTATTATTACATTATAAATTATAAATATACAATTAGTCCGTTTATAATTATGTTATAGACAGAACGAGCCCAAAACACTAAGACTCTTTACAAACTTCTTTATAGCTCAAAACCTTTAGCAAGCGCTTGCCAACTATAGCTCCTGCTTCATTAGGTGTATCTCACAAACCATTTTTTCAAAAGTAGCACATTCACTGTTATACTCCTCTTGACGATTTTTTAATTTTTCTTCCATTATTCTGGTCTGGAATTTGAGATACTGTATTTCATCCGCCTTAGACGATGGAGCAAAGATGAGATTTAAATTGGAGCTCTGCAGAAAGATCAAGGTTAAGTAACAGTACTATAATAGGGTCGACGGATATTTGTAATTTATTTGAGATAAAAAAAACTGAATTTACCTCACACATATTCAGAAATGGACCAGCAGGTTCGCCGATATGACAGTGAAACAACTTGCTCTTTCTCCCTGCACAAAAGAAAATTATTGAAAAGCGTAAAACTTGGTAGGAGCCTAACCTCAAACGAGCAACAAGTCTCTCAAT